GAATAGGCTATTTTTAGGTAAGTGGTTGATGTAATCAGACCAATATACAGAAGAGGATATGTAAATATATACTATCTATGTATTTGCAACACCTCATGGTTTAGCTTGATGTTTGTAGAACTATTATTATTATGCTATATTATTATTCTGATTATTATAATTATTAAGAATTCCATGTATATTACTAGTTTAAACCTAGTGGACAATAATATCACTAAAATCTACTTCGTAATTAATTATTTATTTACTTAATTAATCAGACCAATATACAGAAGAGAATATGTAAATATATACTTCCTGATTATTTTTTTTGCAAAGTTATTATCTCCCTGCACTTCGAATTCCGCTTATAGCAAGTATAGTTTAGTACTTTAGTTATGGCTCCTCTTCCAAAACATAGGAATACAACCCCTTCCAAACTACTCTTTACCGTCCTCAATTCCTCAACAAATACATCTGCCAAAAACACGCGGACCACGGACACACATCTGAAGCCTGAACACCGTGAAGAAATTCCAATGTATACAAACGCAAGTGATTCATTCATTGAATAAAATAACATTGACATAAGTTTGGTTCCGTTGTACGTACTACCTAGTATGAAGTTTTGCACTGCTTTTAGTTTTAAAAGGCGTGAGACGGCATGAGGCATTTTAGGTCAATTTACTCTTTGCCTCGTGCCTCACATAACTTAATCAAATAAGTTGAAATAACTTTGATTAAATATATTGACAGTTTGATACTGCTTCTAGTCTTCTACAGTTCTACACAATGGTGTATCTAGAAAAGTTGTTGAGGAAGCGAATTTACACTAAGATCAGTTTATAAATGCACAAACATGTATAAATAAAATCAGTTTATATCACTTGTGTGTAAACATGAGGCTGTTGTACAAGACCCTAACAAGGTTTCGGTTATGGGCCATCTCGAGAGTGTTACATTAGATGTGGCGGCTTCAAATGACAGTGCAGATGCATGTGATAGTAGAGGGTCTTCATCTCAGCGGCAATCTAGAAACAAAATCATAACTGAGGGAGGACAGTTGGCACTTGCAGGAAACTCTAGTAATAAAGACGTGTTGTTGCGTTAGGCAAGAGCAATTAGCTTGACGGGTAGGGCCAAAGAAACTCGTTTTGAAAGTACAGGCAAATCCGGAGCATATTGAAAAGAACAACTGAAAAATATAAAATAAAAAGGAAACAGTCCAAAGAGTTAAATGGCGTTTAAAGCTGATTTTTATTTTAGGTTGTGGGATGTATATTTTTTATTTAACTTGTGGGAAAAGTCTAATCTCCTAAAAAAAATGCAATTGTAAATAAATTTTAAGAAATTCACTCATGCACCCTTAATCTCCTATTTAGGTAATTTTTATCTTTTTATTCTTTTAATAGAATTACATAAAAGAATTTAGGTAATTTTTGGGAACGAAAACACACTTATATTTGGGAACGAAAATTACATAAAAGAATTACATAAAGAACTTATATTTGGGAACGAAAACACACTTAGTTCTATTTTAGAATTTTCCCTATATTTTACTCCTATTTTAAGCAATTTCTTATAAAATTTAAACTATATACATAGGGGTTGGGTCGGGTTGGAGGGGCAGCTTTCCCCATTACCCCACCCTGGATACACCCCTGCTTCTACGTGAAGCTCTTTTCCTTAAAAATGATATATCATCACAAAAGCGCCTCAAGCAGTTAAGCCATTAAACAAGCTTAATAAACACCTTGATAAGTTGTTATATGATGAACACTTGATGCATTGGGATAGGGCAGGCATCTCTTCCTTAGTTCCTTGTAGTCCAACTAGATGCAAAGTGATTTTTCCCTTGAGTTTATCATTTTCCTTTACACGTTTGAGAGGAATCTTAGGCCTTAAATCCCCCACTTATTCCCACCTTAGTTGTACTCAAATATAAACACACACAATATCTATAGATAGATACGCATCTTACCATCATGTCTTTTCATCACACTTGATTATGACTAAGATTATCTATTGTTGGACCAACTGCATGAACCCTATGCCATAGAATACTCCGTATTGAGAAATTCTATTTCTTCTCTAAATTCCAGAAATATAAACATTGAGAATATATATTCCATCCTGTCTTATTTGATAATATTTTCTCAAACCGTATTAATAATTTAATACCAACTAAACGAACCGAACCAAGACCAAACAAAAAATGCCTATACCAAGCATTAGAATTAGTTTTCTCCACGTAGCATCCACATTATTTGAGCATCAAAAGTAACAAGTGCCAATTTTTCACAAATAAAAATTCACATTTAATACAATCCACGTTGCCACCAAGGTTTCCGGTCCCTATATATACATCAACTTTGAAAAATTGAAACAATCACACAACCATATACAGAAGCTTGTCCTTTCTCTTTACTCAAACGAAATGGCAATGGTGAGAGAGAGGTGTGCCTGGTGTGGACTACTGATGCAAGTTCCTATCCAGGCACAGAGCGTTGTTTGCCCCGGATGCAGAACTGTCATTGTGCTCCGGCAGAGAAACGCCCCCATGAGATACGACTACAACGCTTATCAGATGATGCAACCATCATCATATGTACCTGCAGCTCAGAGTAGGAGACGTGCCGTTCTGTGTGGTGTCACCTATCGAGGCCACAAGAAGAGTCTCAAAGGCAGCATTAACAACGTCAGATCCATGTCTTATCTTCTGGTCTCCAAATTGGGATTTCCACCTTCATCTGTACTTGTCCTCACAGGTATTTATATAGTATTTGTAGTTCCATCCATAAATAAGAAAGTAGTCCAACATACTTGGCTAGAGGGACTATTTGATAAACTCGTTCAAAATATAAACGGGTTAAATCATACTAAAAGATTGAATCCAAGCGATTAACTATTCTAACCCATATGTCAATCTGTAATATTTTGATGCGAGACTTTTAATGAAATGAAACATGTTGCAGAGGATGAGAGAGACCCCTACAGGACCCCAACCAAGGCAAACATCAGAGAATCCTTAAATTGGTTGGTACGAGGCTGCCAGCCAGGAGATTCATTGGTGTTCTACTACTCAGGACACGCCTCACAAGTCCCTGACAATGATGGTGATGAGATTGATGGGATTGACGAATCAATTTGCCCTCTCGACTATGATACAGAGGGGAAGATACTAGACGATGAAATGAATGCTAAACTTGTAAGGCCATTAACTCGTGGAGTCACACTTCACGCCATCATGGACACCTGTTTCAGTGGAACCTCCATGGATCTACCCTTCTTGTGCAGAATGACCAGGTTATTTATGGTTTCATCCCATCTTTAAAAAAGCTCTCAATTTTTTTTTTGCTCTGTGTGTGTGTAGGCGCGCAAATGGTTTGGATAGGTACCGCCGGTTGATAAATCCATTTCTTGTGACTATAAAAGCTAGATACGTATAAACTTCAGTGTAGACTAAATGAATTCTAGAATGACCATCACTGTTTGATGTCAAACTCAACGGTTGAGATTCAGTCTCTATGCATGAGTAGCTTTTGTAGTACGAAGTCAAACCACACCCATATATACAGATATGACAGAGGTCAGAATTACATGAAGAATATGGTCAGAACTTTTGCAGTGAGCAATCAGACCCTAGGGCTAGATGATTGTTGACTGTATTCCGATCCAACAGCTCCTATCAAAAGTTCAGACGGACAGATATGAAAAATCTGGACCTGAGCAGTCCAATGTGTGTGTGTGTGTGTGTGTGTGTGTGTAACTGTTGGTGGTAGATTGTGATGGAGTTGAAAAGTTGAAGCAGGGATGGGTATGTCAAGTGGGAAGATCATAGGACACCGTACAGCAACGTATACAAAGGAACTAGCGGAGGAACAGCGATAAGTATCAGTGCCTGTGATGATGATCAGAACTCCGCAGACACTACAGTGAGTACTACTTCATCTGAACAGTTCAATAATTCTTGAAGCCGTCTAATCTGCTTAAAGCACATGCATGGTTTTACAGGCTTTCACTGGAAGTGCAATAGGTGTCCTAACTTATGGTTTCATCAAAGCTTTAAATGAAGATCCGAAATTGACATATGGTCAATTACTTGGATCGTTGCGTAACCTAATCAATGAAGCGCAGGCGGGGGCACCACCACAGGTATTATTACTATTTTGGCCTTCCATGCATTGGTGGTGAGTGGTGACAAGGCTCTCAATGCTCAACACTGTTTCTGATCTTTGGTATTGGGTCAACCCCTTAGACTAATAATGGCAATGAGGGTTATTAACCTTTTAAATATTTAAATGCAGGTGCCTCAATTGTCATCTTCAGAGAGGTTCGACATTCACTCCAAGATCATGACTCTTTAGGATTTCTGATTGTAATAATCAACTATATATAAGCAGGAACATGATGTGATCTTAACATCTTATAAAATTGTAATAACAGCTTCCTTCCATTATGTATTCATGTAAGGCAATGAAGACTGAAGTGAAATAAGTTTGACAGTTTTTACGTTTTGCCAAAGAAAGAAACATTTTCAACAATCTCAGAGCTCCATAGAAAAACTGAATCATCAGTTTCAGAGTTAATAACTGATACAATCCCTAGGCGATAGATTATTACCCAATTTCACCCTCAACTTTAAGATATTGCCCTAAATTGGAGTAACAAATAAGATGATTTCCCTAAATAGGAGTACCACATTTTTCTTGAACAGAAGTACCATAATCCTGAAAGCATAGTCATATTTGACCTTAATACTGTCTTATTAATGTTTAATAATGTGATAATATAGCAATATGATTTCAGGATGGATGTGCTCTATTCATATTTAAAGGAAAAGTATACTAATACTATTGAGGGAAAGTGGGAAACACCTTGTTTTTATTCTTACTTTCGGTCATGGTATCAATTTGGTCCTTAGCTATGCAATTTCCACTTGATCTAATCCTGCTGCATATCTCACCCTAATTAAGAACGGCATTTTAAGGGACCGAGGACTGAATTAGACTATATATAGTGAACCAGCGAACCCTTGTTATTTAGAACTAGATGTGAATGTTGACTAAAATGAGTCCAAATTTCATATAGTGCATAACCAAATTGAGAAGAAGAAAAAAAACTTGATAACCAATACAAAATGAGTAATGATTTTTATAGCTCGTGAACATTAACTCAGCTTGAAAAGGAAGAACACAATTATATATCAGCAGTACGGCAGTACCAGTTTCTTTTAGTTAAGGGAACACAAAAGGGAGGTGCGAGAAGCTGTGAACCAATGGGTGTAAGAATGGTGGAGGTTTGGCCAGTCGGATGATGAGCAACGAGTGAAGTGGTGGAGCCAAAGGGACAACACTTTTTCCTGCTCTTGTTCCTCCAATGTATTTATCAACTCCTCCAGTGTTTTTTCTACTTCTGCTCTTTTGTCGATGCTCAGGACTGGGGTGTCTGTCCCGTTGCTTCCACGACACAGCAATGGCAGCCAGGACACCAGCACATTCAAGTTTGTTCGTCTAAGTTCATGTCTCATGGTTTCTTCAACTGCCTTTTTCCACGTCTCTCTTGCTTGCTCCAATAAGAATGCTGCAAAGTGAAAAGGCACATACATTTTACTACGTAGTAATTATTATCTATAGTGACGCTTGCGAAACAGCATCACTAACTAAGAGTTGGAAATAATTTATTCATACAAAACTTGAAAATAAAGAGAGTGCATGACTATCATATTTTAAACAGAACAGCAAATCAACTTGAGTGAAGTTGATTGCAACTTAATACATACGGAGTAATAGATTGCAACTCAATACAACTGGGAGTTTTTTTTTTTAATTTCATTCATTTTCAAATGGCAAGACTGTAAGAGGTTGTTTTCTACATTAATTTGGGTTTTCCTGCAAAAGAGTTGAGTGAAGTTTACCCAGAAACAGCTTCTTAAATATTCCACAACTTGACCAATGCACTATTTACCTGAGACTCTGATCAACGCTCCTTGAAGTCGTGGCTCAGCGGACACAGAAAGCCAGGCCAGATGTTGAGCAGAAGACCAATTGCGAAGAGCCTCCTCCGCACAGCCGCAAGCCGTCATTTTCTGAGCCAGCCATAGTAATTCCGCTGCCAGCTTCTCAGCCGATACTTCCGATCGGCTCAGAGAATCCTTCGAGCTTCTAAGCCGACACACTAAATTCCAATAGAACCGAGCGGCTCTTATGCCGCGGCGAAACCCTCCGTAGTGGTCTTCCGCGACTCCGCCGTCCATGTCTGGAGTCCCGACTTCCTCCTGATCCACCTGGCGACTCCGTTCTATAACGGCGGACTCGAGCTGCTTGAGCGTCCGGCGAAATGCAGACGTCAACACAGTGCGATTAACTCCCCTTAACACATCGTCCTTGTACGAATTATTTTCATCTATAAACTTGTCAGCCAACGATCTCACGACTTCATACTTTCTGGAACTCGCCGGAATATCAGTCACAATAGATAAGAGTTGCGTGAGCGCTCTGGCAATAGCAGCTTCGCGTCCGCCGCCGTCTACGACGGCGTGACGAGAATTCCCTGCTTTTCTAGATTGGAATTCGCTGATAAAGCTTTTAATTGGGAAAACCGAGGGCAAAAGGCGAAGGAAGATGAGAACAGCTGAAACAACGAAGCCGCGAATGAGCCGAAGAGGCTTGTATTTGTCGGAGAAGCATGTGAAGGGCTTGTCGGCGTAGAGTAACAACGAGGTCAAAAGGCTTCTGAAAACAGTAGAATCCATGGCGCCGGTGAATTCTCAAAGATGGACGATTTTCTTTGAACGATTTGAACTTGATTAGGTTTTATGATCGTGATAATTGTTACGGAAACTTTGACCGTATATTATACGTAGTACTTGGTAAAGAGCAACAGCAAAGGAAAGTCATGAAAATCACAATTTTCGGCCTTAGCGGAATCGCCGAAACGCGGGAAGGAAGAGAGACCGCCACAACGGCGGCGGCTTTCGTGACGTATTCATTCAGCACTCATTTGCACACGGATGAAACATTTGTCATCATCCTTTACAACTCTCCTCTGTACGGAGTATCTTTTTTCACCATTGATTTTCACAAAAAAAGATCACACCCCATCCCTGAGGGCCCCCCAACACAGACCGGACGGCACGATGGGAAGATGTAAATGGGACTATAATCACAATCTGACAGATAGAGAGTGACCATTGATTTTCACTTTCATGAGTTAGTAGTTAATTTCTCGAACGCTTAAAAGGACCAAATCCGCCAAGAACACAGTTTTATTATTGTGAAACTATTAATAAAACTAGAGGCCTAAATAAACCGAGCTTTTATGGAACTATTTAAATTTGAGTTCAGTTTTGTACCTAACGAGCTAGTTTAATGAGCTTTCGAATTCGAACCCGAGCTGAGTTTTAAGTTCTATTGATTAATCGAGTCGAGCTCGAACATAGTAGTATTCAGTTCGGTTCGAACTCGAGACTATCGAACACCTTGAAACTATACATATAATTTATATATATTAAAGTTTAAATGTAATTAGTATGATTATTAACAAGCATCATCTAAAATTTTAAATTCGAGCATATTTATCGAGCTTATCGAGCACTCAGTAAGAATATCGAACGTCTATCCGGACGAACACGAGCCTCATTTATAAAGTTCATCGAGTTTCGAGCTCGAACATCGCTATTACAGAATCGAGCCGAACTCGAACTCTTGGTGTTCGGACTCGACCCATTAACAGTCCTTATGAAACATACTTTGTATATATAATTATAATAAGGGAAAATTATGATTACCCGTTTACCCCTTCTCATTTAGTCATGATTAATAATCCAACCCATATTTGTATAAGTCAATTATTTGTCTTTTAAGCTTTGATTATTATTTTGATCTATTCCTTGCGTCAAACTTAAGTCATTTTTTGTGTAAAATATGGGGGAATTACTGAAAATATTTTCACTAGACCTGGATTAGAAAATGCCATTTGTGGTCACTTTTCTTTGCTATTGTTATTAGGGCTGAGCAAAACCCGATCCGACCCGAAAAACCCGATATTTTTTTCGGATATTATCCGACCCGAAAAACCCGAAACCGAAAATCCGATTAATATTGGGTCTAGATCGGGTGGCGGGTAGGGTTTGTAAAATCCCAACCCGACCCGCCCGAATATCCGAAATATATGTTAGTGTGTACTTTGAATATGGTAAATTAATACTTGCATCCAATTATTTGTGTAATTAATCTAATTATATTGTGCAATTTGTATTAAATTATTTGTGTAAATTGAATGTGTAGTGCACTAGTGTGTATAATTTTTGTCAAAGTGGCATTCCAACACATTAATTATCCAATTATAATGTGTTTTAATATAACCGAAATATTCGAAGTATATTAAATTATGTAGCGTGTACTTTGAATATGTTAAATTAATACTTGTGTTCAATTATTTGTGTAATTATTTGTGCAATTTGTGTTAAATTATTTGTGTAATTTGGATGTTTAGTGCACTAGTGTGTACAATTTTTGTCAAAGTGGAATTTAAACACTTTAATTATTCAATTATATATATTTTTTAATATAACCGAAATATCCGAAACCCGACCCGATATCCGATAATATCCGACTTAAAAATATCCGAAATACCCGATCCGAAATATCAAAGGGTCGGGCCTAGTATTTAAATTAAAAAACCCGAACGGGTTTAGGGTTCACAAATCCGACCCGCCCGAACCCGACCCGTGCACCGCCCTAATTGTTATTGGTTTTTTGAGTGATGAGCTTTTATTATTCACACATGAAGATCCGTTGGCATATGTTGATTTTTTTATTTAGCGGTAAAGAACCCAATAAGGTATGTTAAGCTTGTATACTTGTAGATGTATTAATGTTTCTATACTTTGTGCCTTACTGTGCAGTTGCACATAGGAATGGGTAAAAAATAGCAAAATGAATACTCCGTATACACTAGGAAAAATTGATAAGAATAATCTCACTTTTCAGTTGCCTTCTTATAGTAATCTCACCTTTATATAATTCTAAAATAATCTCACTTTTGCACCTCATCTTCTTTCATTGGACTCTGACCAAGTTTTTTAATCTTTCTTTGAAAATCATATAAATAGTCTCACCTTTCACTTTTTATTATATCTTTATAAATGTGGGATTATTTATATAAGATTTTCAAAGAAGGGTAAAAAACTTGATCATGGTCCGATGAAAGAAGATGAGGTGCAAATGTGGGATTATTTTGAGATTATGTAAATGTGGAATTATTATGGGAAGACCAGTGAAAGATGAGATTATTCTTGTCAATTTTTCATATACACTATGAAATTATGACTTTTCAAATGTCTGGAATGAAGTACAGGGGATCGAAATTGATAGAGTTTTATAGCTCTAGTCTAGTGAAGAAGAAATTCATCAGCGGTTGTGAAGAGTTAAGTGACAAAGATACATTAGTAAAAATGATTGTATTGAGTAAGTGATCACTAGCTAATTAGAGGTCCTATTTAACAGTGCTTGTTATTGAACCATTTATTTTTTTAGTAAGATTTTGACAAAAGGGGGAGAAATCAACTACAAAAAAATTGGAGGGATATATAGTTTTTTTATTATCATTGGAGGGATATATAGTTAGATTCCGAAATTACAACTAGTTTTTTTTATCATCGAAATTACAACTAGTTAGATTCTGAAATTACAAAGTTGTATTATTAATTATAACCAAACCAAAATGGGCTAAAAAATTATGTGTCAGATCTATCATAATCATCTTAAGTAAATCTCCGAGAACATAGCTTTACTCATACCAATTATTGCATATTCCGACTCACGAATTTAAAAATTTAACGTTTTGTTAAAGTTAAGTCCTCAAGGTTTAAAGGTCCAGCAAAGTCCTTTAAGCTTTGGTACGATTCCTTCTTTAGTGGATTAGTTAGTGAGTGCTTAGGACAATAATGAGCCAGAACAGAAGTATTAGCAAGAAAATAGTAGTTGTCCAGCACCGAGAAATTATTGATTCTGTAGCATTTGTTCTCCACCCGTCTAAATCTGTAAAGGTGCATGAACGGCCTCTTAATCAATGCATGTATTTTGTCACCCTACATTACCATTAAAATTAATGCATGTTAAATGTAGCATGTAATAAAATCGGCTTAAACTTAAAGTGAATAAAAAATCGACTAAGATAAACTACCTCATCATCATGAAAAACGGATCTCCATTCGTTGACCACCTTTTGATTGTGGAGGCATCTCAAAAGCCCTTACAACCCGTACTTTCAAGTAGGGGTGGGCATAACGGTTTGGTTTAACCGAACCGAACCGTACCAAACCGAACTAAACCGAACCGAAACCGAACCGTATGCAATTTGGTTTGAGTTTGGTACTATTTCTTTCAAACCGTATTAAACCGAACCGAACCGAACCGAAACCGATAAAAACCGAACAAAACCGAACCGAACTAAAGAAACTCAAAAAACTTTCATATATTATTAAAATTGGTGGTTTGATTTGGTTTGGTTTAGGTTTACTTAAGTAAACTGTTTGGTAAACATTTGTTCAAACCAAATGTTTTGGTACTTTGGTTTGGTTTGCTTTAAAATGGAAAACCGTAAACCGAACCGAACAACATTTGTACCACCGACTCTTTTAGGTTTTATGAATACTTTATGTGATATTATAAATGCTAATCAACTATCTTATTTTTTGTAAGAAGTGAATTTTTTGTAGTGATAAAAAAGATGTTAGAAGTTTCAATTTATAATATTTTATTATTTATTTTTCTATCTTTTATTTTCTTTTACATTTTATTTAAATAATCAATAAATTAAAAAAAGATAAGATGGACTTAATCAACTTTCATTTTCTAATTCGAAATATAGAACTTAATCAAATAAAATAATAAACATAAGCAAACGTATCAAAGCAAACTAAATTAAACATAATGTTTTGTACTTTGGTAAACCGAACTTCAAACCGAACCGAACCGGAACCGAACCGAAACCGAACCGAAACACAAATGGTTTTAGTTTGGTACAAATTGTCCCAACCCGAATAAACCGAAACCGAACCGAAACCGAAGAAAACCGAACCGTAAACCGAATTGCCCACCCCTACTTTCAAGGGCCATGTTGACCTAGTGTGGTCATCCTCGTTGATCATGGAGTACAAATTTCCTCTATTACTTTCGTTCTCATTTTATGTGCTTGCTGCCATGGTTAGGTGAGCCTTGGTTTCAGAGGGAGGGTTGCAATCTATTAATAGGGTAATCCAAGTTGTTTGTGACTTGCAAGAGTTGTATGTGACAGACAAATTTCTGTGAAGGATAGACATGTGTACACATTTTATGTACACATTTTGTGTACCTCAAACATTTTTCATGACCTTAAACCCTAACCACCTTCATTTATGCTCAAGCACCTCAATAAATGTTCAACCGCTCACATTGAATTCATTTGACCACAAAGGCTTGGTGGATAAAATCTAAATTCATTCAATGGAAAATCTTGCATTGGACTAAACAAATACTCCATCTATCCCCCTTATATTGTCTCGTTTTACCTTCTCGGGAAGTCCCACTTAAATGGTCTCATACCATATTTGTAAAGTTTGTGTGGTTCAAAATCATTCTTACTTTATCAATTAATATCTACCACATAAACACACTTTTCTTAAAACTCGTGTCAGCCTCTTTCGTTCCAATATAAAAGGGACGAAGGTAGTATTTACTTTGCATTCATTGGGAGAATCTTGCATCGGACTAAACAAACCACAAAATGAATACAAAAAGTCTAGGTGTACACCCTGGGTTACACCCTGGGGTACACCATATATATAGATCTATTTTTTTACTGCACTTTTACCTCCTTACTCATCTTAGCCTCTCCCCTATTCTCTTCTTTCCTCTCTGTTACGATACAATCTTTCTCTTTACCTTCATTTTTTCTTTAATTTTCTTTTTATTTGAGTGGCAATTTTCTTGCAGATTTGATTTTGGATAGATGAGCGGACGAATATGGGTGCGAAGCAAGACAGAAATCGTAACCCACTGTTAACCTCCTTTTCATTCTTCTCCCCAATTCCATGTCATTTTTTTTAAAAATTTCAATGGAGGATTTTTCTCCTTTTTGATCCTCGACGAATTAGCCGGAAGATATGAATGTGCGAACCCAGGTGGATTTCCGACCGGAAATCTAGCTTCGACGAGCAACACAACCACGGGCGGCAAAGCTATTAACGACATACTTGGAGGTGCAAGCTAATGACGGAGCTATGAACGATGATCCTGCGAGATATGAAGGAGACATAGCTGTGAATGAAGGTTTGGAAGAACAGAATAGCTACGAGCCCTGTAACCAAATTTTCTAAGCACCATGGAGTTGAGATCTATGCATTCTGACTATACCGACAACTAGTGTACATATGTAGGTGTGCACAGACGAATGAAAGCCTCTTGAGTGATTGTACTGACAACTAGTGCCGGTGTGAACGGACTAGTAGTGTTTTTGTAGGTGTACACATACAATATTTGCTTTTTAAGTGTTTGTGTGGCAATATGGTTTGAGTTGTAGTAATATTTAAGTTGTTATGTGAGATTAACGAAGTGTAAAGATTTTTGTTGTGTGAGTTATATACAAAAATGAGAGATTGATGAATCCATTTGGTTTGTAAGTGTTATTTTGCAAACATAATTGGAATTGGAGTTGTCTGTGATCTTCATATCATATGCATGTGACGTTCATATTGTTGTCTGTAAGCTTTATGTTAGTTGTTTATGAGCTTCAAATAGTTGTGCATGAGTAATATTGTTGTCTCTCAGATTCATATTAGTTGTCTATGACTTTTAAATTTTTGTCTGTTAGCTTTGTTGGCTCTGGCGTTTGAAGAGGAAAGCCAATTAACACTTATTGCTCATTTTTTACTTATAAAATGTTTTGACACTTGGCCAATTAAATATAATGAATTCATGACATTGTGTATGTGTTTTGTTTAATACGGAGTATAATTGTGGGTATGACATCATAAGTTGTCTGTGTAGTACTACACTTGTCTGTGTAATAATAGAAGTTGTCTGTGTAATAATAGAAATTGTTTGTGTAGTAGTACAAGTTGCATTTGAGTAACAAAAGTATAAAAAAAAGTAAAGACAATTTGTGTTACATTACAAAAAACTGAATGACATGTTCAAATCTAAGTCTTCAACATTTGCGGTTGTCACGTCATCTCCAACTTCAGGAACATTGACTTGCTTCGAATTTTTCTCGGGTGTTAGAAAAATAAATGCAACATATGTGTCAGTGCAATTTAAGAGAAAACACATTCATATGTATGTACATATGCTATCAATCACCCTTCTTTATATTTATTTGAAGTCTTGTCAATGCACACATACAATAATAAAAACTGCACAGATGTTATTGTCGATGCACACAGACAATAATAACAACTACAGACATTACTTTCAGTGTACACAGGCAATATGAACAAATCACAAACATATGTGTAGACACCATAATAGCAAGTACAAAACATTCGTCACAATAGGTCGGAAATGGTGACACTAACTTTAGTGTCATAGATGAAATGTCAAGAAATGGTGACATACTGACATTGATGTATCACCATATGTTTTGACGTTCAAGTAACCACAATATTTGTGATGCTATAACGAAACAAAATATCTTGATACATCAATATCATTTACGTTAATGATAGCAACACATCACAAAATATTATGATACTTTAGTATCTTCATTATTTTATAAATATTGATCTTCACAATGTAAATATTGATAAATAATAAAAACACCAAGCCAGCTTTTTATTTATCTTTAAAATAGAAACATTCTCAAACTTCAATGCCAATAAAATATCACAATATCCAAGTAAATTATGCACAAGTACTAAACGCTACTACAAATAAAATCTATTCAATAGCTTCCTAAACATAATATATAATCACTCCTCCACTGAGCCAAAGAGTCTATAGCTTTGATTGTCATCCGTGAGTGTTTTTCTTGTCTGCGGGGCTGCGGGCAATACTAGAGTTAAGGTCTCCAAGCGCTGTTTTTCAGAAAGAAACATGGTAAAAAGTCGCATTAGATTTTATGCTCAAATCACAAATGAAATAGTATCTAATTATTCAAGCATGTGAGGGATTAAACAAGGCACATATTGAAGAGAAGTGAGAATCCTAGAAGTCATCAATTCATATCCAGAATCTATTGGAGTACATAGAGCTTCCTTAACATGATATACCTTTCTAAACCCATAGAGTGAATGAACTCATGAAATAGGTATAAAATCCAGAATCAATTTATTTTAAAACATACCTAGGGAAGGCATCTCATTTAAAAAAAATTATTTGCATATCATATTGAAATATGCAAATACAAGTAAAATAAATCACATTCACGTTATGATGCTACATGTTAAGATAGCCTGACAACTACTTTTTTGCATCCGAATTCTGAAGTCAATACCTAAAATAGGTGAGGTGAGATATCTCTCTGGAGTTCATAGGCATTCACAAAACCTTCAAGAACCTAGCTTACTTGCTTCAACAAACACCCCTACAATAGTTAGATATAGCTTACTTCACCTAGTCTCTCATGAAAGAGGCACAAAACTTTGTCATAACAATAAATCTGAGAACAAAAATATATCACCAAAGCTATATTGAATATCACTAACAGGTTCACTACAATGCTAAAGTAGATTTGAATAAACTTCTATTCCAATGAAGACCATGTGTGCCTGTTATTGATATGAAACCCAAAAACTAATTCATTACCATCTAAGTCTTGAAAGTTAGGTTTAAGAGAGATGATTCTAAGTCGTTGGCATTATATATGTTCTTTTTTCATAAGACAAGTAAATTCAAAACCACGGAGCCAATGTACAGAATATGCTCATACACAAGGATTCAACTCAACAAAGCTGCACAATGCACACCTTTACGTAGTTAAAGCATGCTGACACTAAGTGATTATTTAAATGAAGTGACACCATTAGAGTGCTAACACTAAGTGAATTTTTTATGTGGAAAGTACAAGTACTAAAGTGAATATTAAACTGAAATATCTTTATTATTTACATGTCCAACACAAAGTCAAATCGATTTTATCAAACTGAAATGTAAGCCTACAAAAACAAAAATAAATAAATATGGATATATGACCCTTCAAAGAACATCTATTTTTTTATAGTTCACATATAGTTAGCTAATTTAACACAACGGCTCCACAGACAACTCGTACTCAAATCTGTTGGTGCACACAAACAGTTCAGTTCCAACACACCATCGGTTTTTTGCTTATAACTTCTTCATTATTTACATGTCCAACCCAAAGTCAAATCGATTTTATTAAACTGAAACGTAAGCCCACAAAAACAAAAACAAAATAATTATGAATGTATGACCCTTCAAAGAACAACTATTTTCATTTATAGTTCACATATAGTTAGCTAATTTAACACAACGGCTTCACAGACAACTCGTACTCAAATCTATTGGTGCACACAAACAGTTCAGTTCCAACACACAAATATGAACGGTGCACATGACACTGCTACTAAGTAAACTCCAGGGTCACACAAACACTGCAATTGAAAGTCACACACAACCGATTAATGATGAACCAATTGTTATTTTTTTACTTAAACAACACAAAATAAAACACAAAAGATCGAGATATGACTTCATGCATACCGTTCGGCCATTTCGGACAGACTGGTTCGCACCATGTTCGTAATTTTGGGGTATTCAACAATGGCGTCTTCTCCCTGGGGTCTTCGCCTTTACTTCACGCACCTTCTGCTTCGTTGTGTGGATGGAGAATGAAGAGGGGATGGAGGAATCTGGACTGCTGACATCTGCAGAATCGGGACCAGGACAAACGAAGAGGAAGCGGAAGCTGTGTGAAGGGGGATGAGGAAAGCGGAGCGGGAAGGGGGATGAGGAAGGCGGAGTAGGAAGGGGGGTGAGGAAGGCAGAGCGGGAAGCTTTGGGAACGATTGGGATGCGGGAAAGGGGTGAGGATTCTCGAATGGGAGAGAGACGGGTTTTTTCGAATGGGAGGATGGGGTAAAAAAAATTTGGCCTTATATATGGTGTACCCCAGGGCGTACACCAAGACTTTTTGAAATGAATAAGTAATGCGGATCCAAATCTAGAACCGAATCCTATGATTCCTATCTATTTGACCCGTTTTTTGACAAGAAAAAATGGACGGAAACAGTGGCAGGCATTCCTCTTCCTTTTTTTTGTTTTTTTTTTTGTTTTTTTGTTTTTTTATACTCCAGGGAGGTCTGGGGAGGGGCTTGGGGAGTCTGGAGTAATCAGGGTTGAAACTTAGCCCATTGAGTTTCAAACCCTTGTGTGCCTAGCGGGATTCGAACTTGAGACCTCCCACTAGGCACGATAAACCCGTAACCAGCTAGGCTGGAGTGCTTGGTTAACGGGCATTCCTCTTCTTTTTGTATATTCCCTCCGTATTTAAGAGATTCTTACACTTTTCTTTTTGGAATGTATTTAAAAGTTTGTTACACTTTCCTTTTTTGGTAAGTTTTTTCTTTAAAAATATTCAATTACCCTTATTTTTTCTACCTTTTTATCTTCTATATCCTACTTTTCCACCTTCTCCATACTTTTTGACACTATATTGTTTATACTTTTTATTTCCCCATATTGTTTATATTCTTTTTGTATATAGAAAGATTATTATTCGGTGGCGCCATTACAGGAGCCGTGAAGGTTAGGAAGAAAATGGATATTCTGAGGCTCCTTCTATCTGCTTTGCTGGTCGCCCTTCTCTCCATAGCCTCACTCCCTCTTCTCCATCGCAAAAACCTTCGCATACATTCCCACTTCGCAGACTTAGTGGTCCGAAATGCCACCATTTACACCAGCGACGAAACTCTCCCCTTTGCCGACTCCATGGCCATTCGCGGCGGTAGGATTCTCCGAGTCGGTACATATTCATCAATCCAGGTAGTCGCATCTGGTCTCTCTCTCTCTCTCTCTCTCTCTCTCTCTCTCTCTCTATGGGTTTATTATATCTGTAAATCTTCGTTTTCGTCTAAAATTAGCTGGTACAGTTCAACCTCGTTGACTATTAATTTCGCCATGGTACACCTCGTCTTGCAATGTTTCATACTTGCAGAGTTGCATCAAGTTCAATTTCAACTTTCATTTGAGTAGGTTCTCGTTTTTTCATTTAAATCACTTCTATTATGAGCATGAATGTTCCACAAAGCTATTATACTGCGGTGAAAGGTACTGCCTTGAGACATCGAGTCCTTTGTAATCAAATGATTCAACTCTGTTAGAGTCTGGGCGTGCTTGACAATTAGTTGTTTTCATTAGCCATTAGTCGATTGAAGTTAGCCATTTATATTAATTGTTTAATTGTTTTGACCTGTTCTTCAACCTTGTTATTAATGTAGAGTTTTTTTAATAATAGTGATTAACTATTAGTTGTCTGAATGCATGAAATGACATATAAAGAAATTGTGTTACTTCATTCGTATTTCTGTGATTGATAAATACTTTTCTCTATATTTCATCTCTTGCAATTCACATATGATCTCATTTAATAGACATTCATATAGCTTGTTCATGCTTGTGTTTTGTAAGGTCAGTTTTAATCTAGTATTTGTATCATGTACTTATAAATTTTAGAAAGAAGATACCTAAACTGTGACCAGACTGGGATTATCTCATATCTTTCACTATGCAACCAGCAACCTACATCCCCATTATACACAAACCTGGAGGTCCATGACCCCTTTTCGAAGTGAAAATTGCCCTATGGCTCGAGCCTTCTCATGGAGACATAACACTAGACCATATTTTTGCTTTGTCATGTTTCAAATTGCATGGGCTTAATGATTACTGAATTTGTAATGTACATTTTGTGCACTTTCATTACCAAAATTTCAATTGAATTGCATCCAAGTACTTGTGGCATTTGAAAGCATGATTTGTGGCTTGTAAATTCAGTTTAAAATGGTGTAAATATGAACACAGGAGTTGGTTGGAACTGGGACTAAGCAGCTTAATGTAGAAGGGAAAGTTATTGTTCCAGGATTTATTGATTCTCATGTGCACTTTATCTCCGGAGGGTTGCAGGTTGGTCTCATATCAGTTCCTAAGATCGCTCACTTTACATATTTTGCAAACTGTGGTATTTCACTGACTGCGTATAAGCTTTTGTTGCTTGTTAGATACCCTATAGTCGTCGAGTGTTTCTCATGTTATTTTATGTTTATCTTGATTGGAATATGTGCTTTTAAAAATGAAACTGAAATAGATGGATCGAGTAGAACTCCGTGGTGTTGATGGACGAGAACTTTTTGTGAGCAAAGTTAAGGAAGCAGTCACAAGTAAATGTTCTTTTCATTCTTGCACCTTATGATGATTCAATTCTCATGACCAATATTTTACTCTACTTGGCCAGATGTAAAACCTGGAACTTGGATTTTGGGTGGTGGGTGGAACAATGATCTTTGGGGAGGAGATTTGCCAATGGCTTCTTGGATTGATGATATTACACCTCATAATCCTGTAAGAAAATTTACTTCAATTAATTAATGCTATGCACTAATATTGACAATGTATTCATTTGCTTAGAAAGCCAGATTAGGCACGTTTTTCATTCTTTACATCATGCCCAGGTTTGGCTATCAAGAATGGATGGGCATATGGGCTTGGCTAACTCTTTGGCACTGAGTATTGCTGGAATTTCTCATGACACACAGGATATAAATGGAGGAGCTATAATGAAAGACATTGATGGGGGTGATCTCAATATCTATTTTGCCTCTTGTTCACTAGATAGCAAAACAGGGAACTAATATTAGTACAGTTAAGGCATTCAGGATGGTGTTTGTTTTCTGTTTTTCTGAAAACTAAATTTCAAAATTTGGAAACCAGAACAATTGTTTTTCAGTTTTTGGTTGACATATTCCATAATAAGCATGATTAGTACAAGCATGAGTAGTTTTGATTTATTACACATCACATACCATGTAACTAGTAAGTTGTAACTTTTAAAATTATAAACAAAAAAAAAACTGAAAAGTTGCAACCATCCAAGACAGGTCCTTAATAAGCACAAAAGAGATGAATCACTTCATTCTTGTGTTTCAATTTCTTATTATGAAGTTAATGACCACAGTTGGATTCTCAAATAAGCCAAATGTAATTATTATTCTATTTTGTAATATCATGTGCAGAACCTACTGGGTTGGTGATAGATTCTGCAATGAAGCTTGTGCTGTCCTGCATACCTGAACCTTCCATTGATGAAAGGAGGAAAGCTCTTTTATCAGCAAGCAATCTTGCAGTGATGAGGGGTGTGACAACAGTTGTTGATTTTGGGAGATATTTTCCTGGTTCGCGTGCGGAACTTCCATGGGAGGATCTTTCAGGTTCAGATAATATATCTAAAACATCACCTACACCGTTGTAGTGGTTATATCTAGTTATGTGCAGCCATGTGCTCTTCGTCTTTAACTCTTTAATTATAGTAATAACACTCACAAAAAATGCTTTATCATACTCTAAAATCTTAAACATACTTTGTCATTGAAAATCACACCAAAAAGTAGTGAACAATAATTAAAGCAAACACACACAAAAACGTATTTGCATTAATTTATTGAACATGTGTTTTTCATCATGTTCGACAACAGAATTGTGATTGCATATTTTCATCATCATTAGATAAAAATCTGATTAAAAAACTTGCTTCTATTGTACATGGAGTGGTCTCAAATGCTTAAAAAAGTGCTTTTCAACTTTTTTCTTAAAAAAGCTGAAATTGACGTTTTCAAGTGACAACTTCTCCTTAAATTAAGCATTTAAAGCTAGAAAAATGCTAGAAGTACAAACACACTTACAAAAAAACTTACAAACAAGTGATGTGGCTATTCTAATTACCATTGATGCAAAAGTGTTATAAAAGTGATGTGATGTGTTAAATAATGTGATGATGCCACATACAACTTTTGTAAGATTTTTTGTACCTCTAGCATAACTCTTAAAGCTAAAAGCTGGAAACAGGTGGTGGAGGGGTGTTTTAAACTGCTTTTCACTTTTTCTACTACACAAAAAATCCTTTTTACCAAAAACTACCAACTTCTACTTTTGCAAAATCACTTTTTTTCAAACACTACCAACTTTTACTATAAGTATTTTTTCTAATATCACTTTAAAAATCACCTTTTTAAAAAAATAGAAGCAATCCCAAACACTCCCATAGAATGACTCTTCTGGTTCATTGTAGAGGTGTTAACTCTATATGTTGGACCTGATATTTGCAGATGTGTACCAATGGGCTGATTCGTCAGGGAATATGGTGATCCGTGTTTGCCTATTCTTTCCATTGGAGACTTGGGCACGCTTGGAGGTATACAGGGAATAATATAATTAACTGACTTATGGGTCCGTTTAAGTTGGTACTTTGTAAAAGGACCTCATGTGTTTTATGAACAGCACAAGAGGGCGCTCTGCGTGGCTGTAAATATAGAGAGATTTTTGAGTATTTACTATACTCAATAGGGATGCCAAAGAAAAAAGAACACAATACCACAACAAAACTTTTGTAGATAGAAGTTGTCTTATGTTTTTCCCATCAAGTGAAAAATGTTTTTTCTATTTTGTGTTATGGAAAACCTTATTACAGATCTCATATATTTATTTATGTGAACAGTAATTTTTCACACCTATGCCTCAGGGTTTGGTAAAGAAGGTTGGTCATAGCTTGAGCCAACGGATTCACTTAGGTGGTGTGAAGGCTTTTTCGGATGGATCTTTGGGATCTAACAGTGCACTCTTTTATGAGGTCAGAATTAAATCATTTGTCCGCTCTAATTTTCTCCTATGTCACCCCTCTCAAAAAGTGCATCTTTAAGACATTATCTTGATTAAAATGCACGAAGTTACTCTCTTGTATCTAAGCCATATGCTGATGAGCCTCACAACTATGGACTACAAGTAGTGGATATGGATCAGCTATATAACATGACTCTTTCTTCAGATAAATCTAACCTTCAGGTGCTCTGTCATTCTACATTGACCTTATTCTGTTTAATGTTGGTAATCATGCACTATTCTGACATGATATAATATCTTTATATTTCTAGGTTGCCATTCATGCCATAGGTGACAGAGCCAATGATTTAATCTTGGATATGTATGCTTCAGTGGCTTCTGAGAATCAAAAGACGGATCGACGGTTTAGGGTAACCGAACAACTGATAACGCTGAGAAGTTTTCTAGTCCAATTCTAGCTTTCTCACGGTGCCTCATTAGCCGAGTAGTAATAATAAAATGACTATCTTGAACGTTTTTTCTTTTCACTAGAAACTATAACAACTACTTGCAGATTGAACATGCTCAACATTTGGCCACTGGGACCGCAGCACGATTTGGTGAACAAGCTATATTTGCGTCAGTTCAGGTTCCTATTTACATTCTTCAATGCTATATAATTCAATTCTATGGTATGGGTGATTCACCAAATTTTAGAAATGAAGCCTTATTTTACAAATTCTATTCACTGATAGTTTTTGTTGGGGTTGTAAATGATTGGTGTTCTGAAAATTATTGGGCTCTTAAAGGAGAAAAGGAAAATTTAATCATGAATAGATGTAGGCTACGACAGTCCGCAGCCATCAGAGATTCAGAGCTATGTCTAAGCATTAATGGATGAAGAATATTCTTGACAATTTTTTTAAAACTAACTAAATCATAACAGGGAAGCTATTCACATGTAGCATTCCCAACAAAAATACAAGTACTAATCTCTCATTAATGCTTAAACACAGCCCTAAGAATTGTGGACTAATCATCAGGAGTAAACACAGGCCAAATGTTTTCCTCTTTTGGCCTTTTCCATGTAGACTTGGTTAGAGACAGTTAGGCGATGAGACCTCATGAGTATAGGCTCAGGAAAGAGAATGAATGTTGGTGCTTGATCCATATAGTCAGTCTCATACTCTCATCTAGCAGGAAAATGCTGGTCTGGATTTCTTATTGCGAACGAAACATGTAAAGAATTATAGTGGTGACTTCAGAGCAGTTAAAAATACCTTATCTATTTAATTTAACCAAATATGCACTACCATTTACATTTTTTTTCTCGTTTACAAATGCCACTTATAGTTGCATTTCTGATGCAATCAAGGACAGGGATCTCATTAGCATGGGTTCTGGATACCTACCTAAGCATAATTTCAGGGGTCTAATGATTCCTTGATTGATATTTGATTTACTACTTACTTACCTTCTTACTTTATGTTTTATGACTATATGTAAAGTGGGGTATAGATCTGCCAGGCTAGTTTTCTTGCTAGTGTTGTTGGTTCTTTACTACATCATTTTCCAATTGACATAAAACAGCCGGATCACTTGCTGGATGATGCCGATTCTGCAATTAAGAAGCTTGGGCGGAAAAGAGCAGAGGGAGGATCCTATTTATTCAAGTCACTCCTCACGAACAATGCACAACTAGCATTTGGCTCTGATTGGCCAGTATGCAAATTGCAAAAACAATATCAAGTTGGAGCATTACTTTTACCATAATAGTTCTCTTCTGTAGCTCATCATCAATATCTTCTTGTTTTTAGGTAGCCGATATAAATCCACTGGGAAGCATTGAAACGGCAATGAAAAGAATACCTTCTCTTCCAGGTCGTAAACAACATAAGGGGACAGCATGGATTCCATCAGAACGCTTAAGCCTAAAGGAGGCACTTGATGCGTATGATCATATACTTTCTCTCTTTTTTTTTTCTTCTGGCTTGGACATAATAAGGAGAAACCAGAAGAACATAGGAATCGTGAAAGTGAGACCTTAAGAATTCAACATGTGACAGGTACACAATCTCAGCTGCACGTGCGTGCTTCCTTGAGAGAGACATCGGGTCCCTCTCTCCTGGAAAGTTGGCAGATTTTGTGGTTTTGTCTGCGGATTCATGGGATTCATTCTTTGCAATAAGTGATAGTGGAGGATCTACAACCACTTCAGTCCAAGCTACATATGTTGGTGGAATCCAGGCTTACCCTAGGCTGAAAATGATGATCTGACCATCCGGGTCAATTTATTAGGATAACATACTAAATTCTTGGGAGATAATTATGAATTTTCCATGTGTATTCACTCTGATGAATGCAATCACAGTTTGTAAATTATTCCTTGTATGTTGCCCAAATCAGATATTGTGACACCTGAATTTCCTAATGAACTGCAATGATATTTGACAGTCTGAAAAGTGTTTTAGGAGTTCATTTGAGATGAAATATCGAGTGAGATGGATGTGGACTCGGTTCAGTTCACTGATAAAGTTGTTACTCTTTATTTTCATTAGATTTGGCGTGTTTGTTTATTATGATTACGCTACTCGAGAATACAAACATTAGAAGAGTTGTACACTTTTAAGGGTGTCATCAAAATTTTGACGACTGCTTAGAGACTGACTAGTTCTGAATCTTCTGATGTCGGTTTTTTATTTTAAAATTGGCTACGAGGTTGGGTAGGAACCCAACATAACCAACCGATTCTACCCAACTGAAATGACCCATATGCATCTTTTCACAAAAAAGGTTAGGTGTACTTGTATATACTTTTGGCACACCAAAATAAGGGTCTAAATATATTTTTACCCATCCCTATGTATATAGATATAGATAGCCTCCTTTCTTCTTTCTTCTTTCTTGCATCTTCATCATCTTTCCTTCTCTTTTTATCTTTCTTTGTCATTATAAAGTTAGAGATGAACATTCGCTGAAATTTTTGTGTGGGTATAAAATATTGTCTGTATCATGTTGAATATTGATATAATTTTTGTCTTCTTGGGTATCAAGCTAAATGCAGCAAACTTGAATGAGAAAGGCTGCTACAAAATTACAGGCAAGGAAGTTTACCACATTTCACTGATTGAGAACATGGAATAATAGAATGTTGCCTTCCGTGCATCTGAATTGTCTACGAGTTCTGGTGAACACTTTTGCACAATAACTAACTTCTATCTTGTAAATTCACTAGCGAAGAAGCTTCAGTTTCAGACTGGAGCTTCAAAACTTTCAGTCTTCTCAATCTCATCATCATCTGCGCAATCTATTTGATTTACACTCACACTCCCATTATGTGCCGTCTTGTTAAACCTTCTAGTTTTCAAAATAAAGGCAGATTTTTTCACCAACCCGATGTACTTCTTCCTCACCTTTGCTAGAGGATGTGCCTCTATAGCCCCTTTGTCACAGTAAGCCTCCTTTAGTATTGCCGTGCACGTTTTGTTCTTCAAAGACAGATAGAAAATGTGAGTGTGTCTCTCAAACGCCTTGTGAACCTTCTGTGGGAGACCCAAGTATTTCCTTAGACACAAAAGCTTTCTCCTTTCAGCAGAATGCTCCACAAACAAGCATAGCAATTCATGAAGCAATCCCACCACTCGCTTCTCGGCTTCATCGCTATCAGGCCTTATATATGATGTTGAGTAGTTTTCGTAAGGAGAAACGTAAGGAAGCTTCTGGAACTCATCCCACCAATCTATAATCTTTCTCCTCAACCTCAGTCCTTTAGATGGAAATATGGGGAACGAAATGGTTTCTTTTCCTTCACCTCTTTTTATTGCATTCTTTTGCAGCACAGTCAATACCCTTTCATTCCCATTGCAGTTTAATGCCAATCCTTTCAGACCATCTCCCATTTCCACAACCTCAAACAATCCGTCAAGATTCTTTTCGGGTTCTGTCAAGAATTCATCAGGCAGTCCCAGATACCACTGCATACCCTGAATAATCTTCAAAGGAAGGACCTTTTTCTCACCGAAACCAACACAACTCATCAAGATCAACTTCTTCAACCTCAATACAAGATCATCCTTAAATTCTCTGTAAACATCTCTTTCCTCTTTGTGGATCTCAATGGCTCTTTGGGTCAGTCTGAACCAGGGAAGGTGGTGTTTGGGGCCAGTAAACTCCTCGAAAACAGAAGGGTATTGTCTCAAGAACCTGGCAACCTTAATGCGCACTCCAAACTGTAATCCCTTCTTGGAAACGGAAGAAATGGGGATGGAATACTCTTGAGGTGAGGCAGAAACTATGTAGTTTTTGAGGGCGATTATGGGCCTTAGTTCAATGGATTTGTGAACCGACTCAATTGATTCCAAATATACATCTTGCTTCCACTTCATGTACACATTAACATAGCTCTGCTTTTGGGTATACGCAAAGGGTGGGGAGGGAGACAAGATTGAACTACGAGACGAGAAGCGGAGAATCTTGAGGATGCACATGGCCGGTCCGGCTGGCTTTGTTCTTGTTTTTTTGGACCCGTTCAAAAAAATTGAACTATACTGATGAGATTTAGCTGCAAAATCACAACTAATAATCATGTTATGTCAGGTCGATTCTGCTTCCAATAAAGTTGATGTTTATTTTACAAAATTAGGTCTTAAGAGTTAAGAGCAAATAAGCATCACGTTTTATACAATAATCTGCGACTACATGATTAAAGTAATACGTAGTAAATATTACGAGTATAAACTATTAACTGAAATCCAATAGTCCAACGCCTCATGAATTACATTCAATCACACTGCATGCTGGAAAAAACAATTAACTTGTTGAAGTAAAAATGCAAATTGCAGTTTTGATCAATCCACCAGTAGAACAAAGAAGAGTCATCTAAGAAGAGGAAAATAATCACTAAAATAACACTCCCTCGGTCCCATTTGTCCCATTGAATTTTTTCAATTTTTCTTTTTTGTTTGTCCAAAAACTTTAACACTTTCTCTTTGAAGTCATTAATTAGAGGTTCGATTCATTTCTCTCTCCTCTGCACAAATTTCAACCACACAACTTTTACTTTTCTGTTTATTTACCTAACTTGGGTGCTGTTCTGTTCGTCTTAATCTTATTACTTATTGCTTATTCTTATTTTATTCAGATCAGATCAGATCAGAAAGATTCAGATCAGATCAGAATCATTCAGATCAGATCAGAAAGATTCAGATCAGATCAGAAACATTCAGATCAGATCAGGAACATTCAGATCAGATCAGGAACATTCAGATCAGATCAGAAAAGTTCATACATGATTTATCCTTTTTATTATAATAATATTTATAATAATTATAATAATTACAATTATTATTATTCTTGTTGTTGTTATTGTAATTAGTATAATTAATATTATTATTGATATTATTATTATTATTATTATTATTATTATTATGATTATTATTATTATTATTATTATTATTGTTATTATTATTGTTGTTGTTGTTGTTGTTGTTATTATTATTATTATTATTATTATTATTATTATTATTATTATTATTATTATTATTATTATTATTATTATAATTATTATAATTATTATTACTATTATTCTTATTATTACTATGATTACTATGATTATTATTATTATTATTATTATTATGATATTTATTATTATCATGATTATTATTATTCTTACTACTAATATGGTTGTTGTTATTGTTATTAGTTTTGTTTTCGTTATTATCATATTATACGGAGTAATTACAATTAAAATTATAGAAATAAATATTATAATTATAATTATAGAAATAAATATAACTATAAATATAATTACAATTATAATTATAGCTATATTTATAACTAGTGTAATACGTATAATAATAATTATACCTATTATAATTATGTTTGTAATTATAATTATAATTTTTATAATTATGATTATAATTATAATTATAATTATATTTAAATTATATATGTGTAATTACATTTATAATTATAGTAATTATAATTGTAATTATAATTTTAGAAATATTCAGGAACATTCAGATCAGATCAGGAACATTCAGATCAGATCAGGAACATTCAGATCAGATCAGGAACATTCAGATCAGATCAGATACATTCAGATCATATCAGAAAGATTCAGATCAGATCAGATCAGATCAGAACTTAACAAATTCATATCAGAAACATTCAGATCAGGTGAAGAGAACAGCTTCTTGGCAATGTCTAATACTACATAGGACGGAGGTAATATATAAGAAAATGCAAAATGCAAAATATAGAAGATTGGAATTAATACATTAACCAAATATATAAAAATATAATACTACGTAGATAACTAGAAAGTTATGAAGCACGGAAACTCTCAACGGCTTAGGTTTCCTTGTTTCGATACTTCGGAAATTTCACATTCCCGTTTTGTGGCCGTTTACATAATTAAGAAGAATTGGGAAACTCGTTTCCCTAAATAGTTAGCATTTCGGAAACCTTCGGTTTCCAAGTTTTCTGTTTCTTAAAAGATTTTGTGATGGAAAATAGTGTCTTTTTAAAAAAACATAGTGAATTGTTGTGGTATTTCTTCACAATATTGTGACATTTTGTAACACAATGAATTGCTAGAAATTTATTTCATTTTATGTTTAATTATATACTAATATTTTGTGATTTTAAAATTTGAACATGTGAATGTTTTTATTATTGGGTTATTAAACAAATTACATGGAAAAATTATGTACACATATGAAAAAGTATTTATAGATGTATCCTTACATTTTTTAATAATTACATGTTTCCCCTACGTTTCTTATCATATATATTTTAGAAATTACGTTTCCCGTTTCGCGTTTCCCATTTCCATGCTACATAGCTAGAAAGTAAAGCATGCTAACTTTATGAGCCTACAATCACTGACTAAGTATGGACCTTTCCCCCTCTTTTTGAGACAATTCTCTTCGCATAAGAACATGCCTCTCCCAGCTGAGTTGAGGGATGCAGCCTGAGCTACTGTTCTGATGCCATATTAATTAGGGCTGCACAAGAATAACCCGAACCCGCATAACCCGTCCGACCCAACCCTACCCGACCCTATTTAATCGGGTATTTGATTTTTTAAAATATTCATGGGTTAAATATGTTTTAACCCGCACCTAATGGGTAGGGTTGGGGAATTAAAATCTCAAACCCGATAGTACCCGACCCGGCCGAAGTTCATTTTACTATTATTATGCTGCAAAGTCTGCAACGTTTTCTTGGATAATTTCAATTTAAGACCAATATGCTCTATCTAGGATTTTATGATATTAGAATTATAATTAAACATTTATCATTTTAACTAGGTGATTATTATATATTTACGTTTCCTTCTAAATGAACTTCCTTTACAGAAAGATGTTTTAATACTATTACCTAATGTTGTGCTTGTAAAAGATACGAGTACTTGTATTTGTTTGTGTGTTTTGGAAACAAGTTAATCGAGTTTTAAATTGGTTACATTAATTTCCCATATAAAAGATGCAACCCGAAGTGATTTTTTCCCCAATACCCGACCCT